GGATGGTACTAAAAAGACCAAATTTCGCATTCTGTGAGATAATCTTGTTTGCAATGAAGCATTTTTGTAATCTAGCAAAGCATAATTATCTGAGTAGAAGCGAATAACGAATTATTAAGCGAGAGAGAGATAGGCCGCTGGTAGTTCTCGACTGAAAAGAACTAATTACATTACTAGCAAACATTATAACAATTGTTGGAATGGAAACCAAGATCAAGAGGAAAAATAAGTATATGATGAAGATGTGAATGCAAGCAAAATGCTTACCAAAATGAACAGTAACTGTTAGGAATGATAGATTGAGGGGAATGAGTAGGAAATATTTAAAATATTCTTTATTAGGTTATATATTCCACGAAAATAATGAGACAAAAATCCACACTTTGTTTACTCAGATACCACTTTTGTAGACCTTAATACGCAGCAGTAATAGTTCTGAATGAGTTACAATGTGAATATGGATAACGTGGGAAGACATTTTCTCTATTTGACTAGAATGTCATGAATCTTATCCACAACGACCAGGTCCCAACAAAACATACAACAGCAGGTAAATCATAAGACACTCGACAAGATTTGAAAAGATACAATTAATTGTGTTGTTCGACATCCTATGTATATATGCAAAATTGTTTTCAATGTTAAAGTGATATTAGTCCATCACATATCTGAAAAGTTATCTAAATAAATTTTCGTCGGATTGACAACAAAACTAACTTCAGTCGATGCTACAAACTTGTATGTTCTTTTTGGGCCAAAGTGAAGAACTTGTTGAAGGCCAGTGGCTTAGAAATTCTTTGAGTCGTGAACACTATTTCATCTAACTTGGCTCTAGTTCATTTGTTTGTCGTCAGTTGATGAAAGGGAGATCAGTCAATCTGTTAATTGTATACAATTCATATAGATAAGTGGGACTGTTGTGTTCGCAAAAACTTACTGTGTTGTGTGGGCTTAATCATTGAAGTGAAGGTGAAAATAAGAAATGTTGTGGTAATATCTCATTCAAAGATCTCAAATGTTAGAGTAAATGGCACAGGCATGTGACACATCTACACACCTCTGTGTTACTAATAGTAGGAATTATTGATGGAAGCTTTGTTGCAGTCATTGAGTTGGTCTACCAAACGATGAAACGTGCTGTTTAGGTGTTTGTCAACAATAGATCATTTCAGCAAGCAGTAAACCAACAAAGATCGGTGAGAAAACTGAAGATGGTAGGTTTTACGATGATCTTTCTGCCTTAACATTATTGATTACATAACACATATACTCCGGTACTGATCTTCTGATATGTGCATTATCAGAGTGCTCCCGTCTGTTAAAACATAGAACAGATTCGACTAATTTTGTTCAAATTATGCTGTGTGAAGGTGTAACCGACTAACAATCAATCGGTCACTTACTGCTTATTATTTCAACTGCAGATGAACATCCCTATTTAGACTTCTAAACATATTGTAGATAATTAGTTAAATAAACCGTAGAATTGGTTATCCAGGTCTGAACACCAGAAAAATTCGCTTTTGTTTTGAAACAAAAAAACAAGCCAACAATCCGCATTCAGTTGCACACACATAGTGTACGTGGCATCTAGAAGAGCTTAGGCGAATAGATGCTGATGTTGGAAAGCTTTAGAAGCTTAGAAATAGTTATAATAACTTGCTGATAATTGCTGCAAAAGTCTTTATTCTTTAGTGAGACTGTACAGCATTCTGCTATGAAGGGGGAAGTGTTTAATGTTCTACAGTCTTGACTATCTTTAGGTAGCATTCATCAAGGACAGATATCAGTTGATTATGTGTTGCAAACAAAAGAATGATGAGGAGCAGTTTCAAATTAGTTTTGGAAATACCAGCAATGGATATCACGAGACTTCGTTGACAATCAGGTCCAGGTTCGTTAGGCTTCATCTTGAAACAGTACATATTGAAACACACCATACGGTTACAAAAACCCGGTTATATTTCGGTGGTTTTCACTCGACAAACTGTAGATACTATGCCTCAAATGTAAGAACCTCATCCAATTTAATTGTTGAGATGGTATTTGGATGTGTCACATGCTTCGACTTCTGTTTCAGTCATATTATAACAGAAAAAATGTGTATTGATGTATTAATCACAGTTGATCACATAGCAATAAGACTTAGACTTTATGACTGTAGGATTGTAAGGAATCTTTTTGTGATTTTTGCAAAATATTACTCACTTCAGATTCAGAGTTGTAGTTTGACGATAGGAGGATATGAATGTACAACTATCAATTTCCGTTAGGTCTCCATGTTTATTCAGTCGTCTTTCGAATGAATCGATTGATCGGGCGGAAACTGATTCTTCTGAGAGTTGATTTCAGAAGTTGGATACTGTAATTGAGAACCAGTACTCTACGGAGACCACATCCATCCTCCTGCTCTGAGGTGTTCCAACCTGTTTGGAAGAAAAAGACATGGATCGGGTCCAGTGTCATTTCTTGTGATCCTGTATTGTGTAATTCGATCTCCACTGTGTCTGTGACAATATAAAGAAAAGAGGTTCAGCTTGTTACGTCATTCTTCATAGATCAGGCAAGACGGACATAGTAGGAATCGTATGCGTGGCTATCTTCTGAAGATATTCCAGAAGGTCCAAGTCACTTTTTGAACAAGTAGTTGTCGCCTTTGAACAGTTTTCCAGTTCAGACCTTAATAAGGATACATTTGTTGTGGTGGATATTTCACCAGTTATCCTGCAAACGTTCTGCGTAATGTTGAAGCTGTTCTGAGACTTTAAGCCACGATGAATCGACAGTGTGCTGTGGTTTTGAAATCGTGACCTGCAGTGTGAATACTGAGGATAGAAATAATCTCACCAATGTCGTAGTTATTGCCATCTGTATGTCTCTTTTTTTGCATGTCCACAGACGTATCTGCATTGATAAACATCAGTCATTTCTCTGACCAGATTAACACGTTTTTTCGGTGTGTCTGGAGTACGAGTACATTCTCGTCATCATTAATTCCTCTCCAGATTATTACATCGTCGGTGTCGAGAAGCATAGGGGATTTTGTGATACCTAATAGTTAATTGGTGCAGAGGAGCAAATGCAAGTAGTTCAGGAGTGCGCCTTGCTACACTTCATTCTCTACAAACTGGAAAGAGGATGGAAGAGAATTGTTCCTAATACTATTTTCATCCTTCTAATAGAGAACTCTCTGAACCGTTCAAGCAGATTGCCAATGATTCCAAAGCTTCTCATTTTCCTGAGTAATATGGAATGAACTGCCTTGTCAAACACTTTACTGAGGTTAGTGAAAACGACATCTACATTTATGTTATCATTGCAGAACTTATTCTAACTTTCTGTGTCTGTGGGGACAAGTGTTCGTCATGATGACATTTTTGGATACATTGGAGGGGATGACTATTCTATGAGAAATACAGATTTTCGTTATATACCTCTTGTGGAATTTTCTGTCCGAAACTAGACATTTCGTAGACTTTGTTGCTGCTAGTCCGTTTCTGTGGATTGAGGGTTTTAATTTCCTTAGTAATGACTCATATTTTAAGAAGGAATGTTAGTTTAGGTTACAGTGGAATTTGTCATCTTCAAGAATATGCCTTATGAGATGCAGATTGCAAGCTAAGTTAACATCGCTATATTTTTGAATAAAATTATTGACAAAACCTGCAGTCATAACTTAATTACATCACATAAACAAATGATACTTTGTACGACAAAGAAGATAAATGGAAGGAGATACTTGGAAATGAATTTTTAATATTAATTATGATGTAATACCCTTTAAAATAATCGGTTCAACATACAACAGATACTGAAGGAATTCCGAAACTTTTTACTGCTTTATAAACTACATCTGTCCATACTTTCTCAGAAAATCGTTTAGGATACGCAACACAGACTGGTATATATTGTCATCAGTAGTCTTCATTAATTTAGGCAAAAAAATAAACTACCTTTGAGAAGATATTTGGTGCAATAAATCTGTCATTCGCTTTACAACACTTAAAAATAGAACTAAATGTATGCAATTCTCAGAAAATTGTTGAATTCATATCTCATGATTATGATAACTATGAATAGACCGATTCCATTTTGACGAGTGTAACCACTGTTCTTGCTGGCAGAATTAAAGGAGTATTAATATCCATGCGAGATTATTACTTGACTCTATGCTTGGCTTTACGCACTGAGTTTTAACCCTACAACCAACCTCATCGGCGTGTTATTTAGTTTGATTGATATAGTGATCTGAAACATAGCCACATGTGCATTACATCTAGCTTAATATCAGATTCATGGTTAAACGCTAGGCGTTTACTTCAGTTTACCCGATAGGCAGAAATATAACCCTATATTGTGCGCAACGTTTGCCGATGCGGCCTGACAAAATGGTTGAATAGGCTTCTTTAAAATATTGTCTAGTGAGCTAACTTTGTGAATCAATTGGATATGACAACGTGGAGCTCACACTAAATGAACCTCATAGTAACCTAGATCGATAACAGCCTTATAGAAAGCAAGTGCTTTAAACTACGCATGTTATAACAGAAAATTCTAAGTAAAAATAAAAGGGAGAAATGTTTACACAGGAAGTGAGGTAACCTCCAAAACAAAATGTCCAATCTGTTCACTTTTATGGTTCAGTTTTAAACTTCAATGATTTCAGGCTGCAGGTTTCAGAATACTAGGCCAAAAACCCTACATTAATCCAAGGAGAATAGACTAATGTGAAGATGCGGCTTACCCTCAAAAAGATAAACGAAAACGTAGCTACGAAAAAAATCTACTAAAGAAATCAGAATCAGAACATCTAGTCAGGTTTGATGCGCGAGTATATCGACAATTGTAACTCCTCACTGGTTGTCGTTAGAAAGCAAAAGTAATGGTTGTATGAACAGTTGAGGAGGCATGTTGACTACAAGCACAAAGTAATCGTGTATGAAATTCATGTGAAACTCTGAAGATAGAAAATACTGTGGATTGAGGGCAAGAAACAGGTGTTATGCAGAACTAGCAATAGATGAGACAAACTCTATTCTCCTCAATACACAAATATCTAGAGTGTCTGTTCGACGTCCATCCTGCAATTTAATGCCTTTCAACAACATCACATCGTGATCTCGACAAGAATGTAATCCCAATAATCCAGTTATCACTTGACTATCTTGTAGTGTAGAACGCATTACATCAGCATTCATATTAGATGTAGGTGAGTATATGTGATATCCAGCATTGCTGAAGCAAAGAAATTTAATTAAGGCCACAGTCTAATATGATCTATTCTACACATAGAAGTTGGCGTTGAACATATCAACATTTTTTTTCTGTTTACTTTTCACCTGATTGTAAACAACTAATTATTGCATCTGAGAAAACGATAGGTTTCAGCACACTTGGATACATTCCAAGTATATTTTTTGATTGGCAGAAATGTTATTACATCTGTGCATACCTTCACTTGAGGTCAAATCACGGTAGTGATGTTTACAATCTACCTTTTCTTTGTACTGTTTCTCCTGTTATATTTTTTTTCAGGTGGGTGGTTTTGCATATTTTTTCTTTCCAAGATTTTCATCTGACCAATGTTGTTTTTTTTTTCACGTGAATTCTTATTTTGTGTTGTTATATAGAAGAAGCTTTTTAGTGGAACTTAATTCTAGATGCTTTGGTGCTTTGGTATTTTTTTAGCCTTCTGTTCATCGCCTTCATACATAAAGCTGAAGGGGGGGGGGTAGGGGAAAGCTGTTTCCCAAAATTCTCCCATGATACCAGTGTATCTAGCGAATCTCTATGCTTGTTTGGAAGAGACTGAGCTGTTGTTCTGTCAAATTCATAACCATTCTGATCCATTCTTTCACAAAAGATTTTTGGTATTGTAACTCGCATAAATTCAAAATTTATAAATATTATCTTCATTCGAGCCGTATGCGTTCGTTCCTAATTCCCCTACTGCTTCATGCTCCTCTCATTGAATTTTCAACGCTAACTGTCCATGGTGAGCAATCTCCAAACGTGCAGAACATTCTCATCCCTTGGTTTTAAGCAAAGCTATCACCACACAACCATCTGATTCACTGAGTCTATCTGAATAACAAAATGAGCTTGCCTTGCTTTATATTGGGGAGAGGTTAAGTGACCTGCGTTGAGTTTGCTGAATTGTGAAGCAAAGTTGAATAAAGTTGACTAGTATAATGGTTCTGTTGCACTCCATCGTCGGTCAACCTGAAAGTTATGTTTGGCAATTGAGTAGTAGAATAAGCTTATTCCGCCTGATCTCTGGTCTGGTTTCACTTTCAATCATTATTTTATGTGTAAAATACCAGTCTGTCTAACAACATCTATCTCAGGTAGTCTCATCAATAGAGGTATTCACTAGTCATCGTGCATATTTGTTTTGGTGTGGAATTATTTGAATCGGTATTGCTTCGTACCTGCTGATGTGTTTCTAATGAACTGGAGGTGCAAGATTTTATTGAACACAGAACGTAGTTCATTAGTTGAAATCTAGACGAGTTTATTTCGTATAAGCTCTCAGTCACGTCGAAAATTTCCCCGTCTAACTTCAGGTATAATCGGAATGTATATATTCACTTTTTATTCAGATGCATCTGTCACATTCCAATTTTTTCATTCTGAATACAACGCTTACTTCAAGATTTATATAGTGGGAATGGTTCACATTTCTATCATTTTACTCCACAATTCAAGAAGTAATTCTTATGCGAGTAAATGTAAGCTATTCTATTGATTTATATAAACTATGATCAAGTTTTGATCGAACAGTATGGGAAATATTGGGCACTGAGTAAAAGGTTGATAACAGATTCTATTCATGTTTAATCATGTCATTGCATTCATGAAGCAGTCAGCCACTATTTGGAGATATGAAGACAAAATTGAGTTAGGATATTTACGCGCAATCGTAAAAGCATTTTCACGAAATAACCGCTAGATAGACCCACATATTTCATTCTACTAGAGATGAGATTGATAATTATATCCACAAATCGCCAAAAATACAACCACAAAAATCAAAGGAGCAAAATAAAAAAAACAATCATTTAATACATTATGACGTATAAGTATGTGAAGACATTTATACAACCAGGAAGCATCGAAGTGTAAGCACACTGTTAGTAACATTATTTGTCTCTGGGGTTTCTAGTGGAACGTAGGGCTTCAGTAGCACATCCCCATTGCACTCTCTTCTCTGCAGTCTTTTCAACCTCGCTCCACTACTACCCAGAAGCTTTCATTTCTTCCTCACATGATCTCCCCAATGTCACCATCACCACAGACGCCCAACTCGTCGTTTCCCATTTGGATTCCACTCGATGGCCTGGTCTGGCACGTGATGTTCCCAATCAGCCTTCTCAGTGTATGTCCAGTCCAATCCATCTCCACTTTCTCCTACTGCATATTTGTTGGGTGATAGGTTCTTAGTTGTTTCGTTGGCAGACAGCCAGAGTTCCTTGTTGCTTATTCTTATTAGTCGGGCAATCTGATCTTCAGAGGAACTGATTACAACTTACAAAACACTACACTGGACAAAGAAGTGAAGAAGAGTGCACGCAAATGCAAAAGACACTTCTACGACACACTGGCAAGTGAAGCAGAACAGGCTGCAGCTAGGAGAATCCTGACAACATTTTTGTATCAAATAACCAGATTACTATCTGAGAGGGAAGAGATCAACACGGATGAAAGTAATAAAAGATGAAGAGGGAAATCTAATTACCAAAGAAGGGGAACAAAGGAAACGATGGGCTGAGCACTCCAAAAAGCTCTTGAATCGACCACCACTTGCAACTCGTCCAGAAATACCACCAGCAGCCCAGCCACAGAATTACCAGTGAACACAGGCCGTCTGACAAAAGCCGAAGTCCTGAATGCCATAAAGTTGCTGAAATGCGTGAAAGCAGAAGGACCAGATGGAATTCCAACAGAAGCACTGGAAACTGATGCAGAGGCAACATCAGCAGACATGCTGACACTACTACTGCAGAACGTTTGGAGGGAAGGAAGGAAAGGTACGTAGGGATTGACTGGAAGAAAGGCCAGCTTGTCAAATTTCCGAAGAAGGGAGACCTAAGTCTTTGCAAGAACAGTAACTGGTGTTCATTCATGCTGCTGTCCACCCGAAGCAAAGTATTAAGATGCATCGTAATGGAGAGATTTAAAGGTGGTCTGGATTCAAAGCTACGGCCGGAACAGGCTGTCTGGCTCCAGGAGGAACAAATCAGGTGCGTACCAAATTGCAACTCTATGCGTCATCATAGAACAAAGTGTAGAATACCAGTCAACTCAACACTACCTCAACTTTATCGTATTTGAAAAGGCCTTCGACCGAAACGTCGACTGAGAAGTAAATTGGAAACTGCTTCAACACTAAGAAGTATCACAAACCTTTATCAACCTCATTCAACATCTACATGAATACGCGACAAGATGAAGTCAGTGTTTTCCCACGTTCTCATCGGTTTCAACTCCTTAAAACAGAGGAGGCTTTATCTATTCATGAACTAAGACCTGATCTGTGTGTACAAAAGAAGTATATGCAGTCACTGTCTTTATCATGGCCATAACATTTTCCCACCCCATTAGCTCCCCCTCCCACTTTGTTAATTTAACCTTTGTATCCTTCCTTTATCAATATTATTGTTGTTATAATCGCCTTCACTTCAACTAGTTTCCGGTGTTGTTTCACTTAATTGTCTTAATCCTTTTAGAAAACATTGACTTCATCTTGTCCAATTTGTCTAATGCCATTACATAAAACTTAATTGATTTACCATTTTCAACAATTTTTCCACACCCTTCTGAGTTAAATACTCTCTATGTACCATTCCATATATTACATAATCTATTTATTAACATTCGCACTTCAATCATAAATGCCTATGTCATCATCCGCTCTATTATTATTGTCATCACCATATAGTGTTTAGTTTTCCTCACGGGATATAATTTTTTCCAAATACCATATATATACGATTGTACAGCTTGAAAATAAATTCGTTGAAAAGAGTCTCTTCGCTGAATATCTTGTTCCTTAATGTAGAGAAGACAGAGGTGATGAAGATACTCAACCAACAACAGCATCAACAACAAGCAACAATCACCATTAACATGAGAAACCTAAAGGAAGTAGTCTCTTTCACCTACCACCTAGGCAAGTCAGCGTCGTTTCAACTTCAGTCGGCACAGACGACGACGTCAAAGACAGGATTGTAAAAGCAAGACAGGCTTTCACTAATCTGAAATAATCAGTGTGGAGATCTACTGCACTCAGCATAAAGTGTGAACAACATCCGAATTTTCAACACCAATGCCAGTCAAGTCAGTGCTTCTATGTGATGGTTGATAGACTTGGCGGTGAGTTATGAAAAGGATTTCCAAGAAACTGTAGACATACATCAACAGCTGCCTACGCTGGCTCGATATTGAAGATCAGATGGCCAGAACAATAAGAATAAGCAACAAGGAACTCTGGCTGTCTGCCAACGAAACAACTAAGAACCTATCACCCAACAAATATGCAGTAGGAGAAAGTGGAGATGGATTGGACTGGACATACACTGAGAAGGCTGATTGGGAACATCACGTGCCAGACCAGGCCATCGAGTGGAATCCAAATGGGAAACGACGAGTTGGGCGTCTGTGGTGATGGTGACATTGGGGAGATCATGTGAGGAAGAAATGAAAGCTTCTGGGTAGTAGTGGAGCGAGGTTGAAAAGACTGCAGAGAAGAGAGTGCAATGGGGATGTGCTACTGAAGCCCTACGTTCCACTAAAAAATCAATGGACAAATAATAATAAAAATATTTCAATTGACTGTATCTGATGAGTGTGTCTTAGCGGATTACTCTTTGGGTTTTAGATCGATGGGTTTGAGGTTTCAGTGTTAGAGGGAACAATATCACTCGCTAGGATGTGAGGACATCCAACTGACTAGTTTCGATTAGGAAGATGTGCACATGTTACATTCCTCTGCTAGCCACACCTAAATAATTTGTCATTTTTGGTCTCGGTTGTATAATTTTTAAATATATCTTTGGAATACAAATTGGCGGTTATTATGCCGCTAGTAGTAATATATCAGAAACAACAGAGGTATTATTTCAGAAGAAGTATTGTTAGGAATGTTATTAATGATTTTATTTGTAGTAGTATCATTGCCAAAAGCGTTATCATTCATAAGTGACGTGCTGGTCAGATAGTTGGTAATAATATTACTAACGATCGCACTAGTAAAAACTGGACTAGTAGTGAAAATACTGGTATACCAGTAATTTCTTTGAAGAAATTCTATCGATCTATCTCAGTGCACATAGAGAATAATTGCATTTGTCATTCATAATAATGACGGCTACTGCTAGTAGCTTTGCAGAGATCCACATGATCATTAAATCTCTGAGTCATTATCTTCAAGACGGAAGCAACATTTCGTATCTCATTGTGTTGTCAATGTGAACAAGTTTTGTTTTCATATGGATTTCAGTTCAACTGCTTATATCAGAGATGCTAATACCAAATATCTTCAAATGTTCTTCTGTTCAACTTTGAGATGAGTAA